GTGCTGCTGCTGCAGCAGGAGCTACTGTTGCTGCAGGAGCTACTGCTGCTGCAGGAGTTGCTGCTGCTGCTGCTGCTGCTGCAGGAGCTGCTGCTGCTGCTGCTGCTGCTGCTGCTGCTGCTGCTGCTGCTGCTTGCCTCGGTCTCGTCCCACAGGGCGCCGCGACTCCGCAGACCGCAAAGCCATGAGTCCCAAACGAGCTGCAGCAAAACACCACTCTAAACCCTAAACCCTAAACCCTAAACCCTAAACCCTAGATATTATGAGGGTTGCGGGTGGCGGTTCAAGATGCACGCATATAGTCTACCTACAGCAGCAGCAGCAGCAGCAACAGCAGCAGCAGCAGCAGCAACAGCAGCAGCAGCAGCAGCAGCAGCAGTAGCTGCGGCAGCCTGATACCGGCTGCAGCTGCCTATAAGACTACGGTTGTGCTAGGGTTTAGGGTTTAGGGTTTAGGGTACCGGTTTGCAGCTTTTTTTTGCATGCGTTTTATTTTTTGTGGGTCTGATGCATCGCTGTGCACTGAGGGTTTAGGGTTTAGGGTTTAGGGTTTAGGGTTTAGGGTTTAGGGTACCGGTTTGCAGCTTTTTTTTGCATGCGTTTTATTTTTTGTGGGTCTGATGCATCGCTGTGCACTGAGGGTTTAGGGTTTAGGGTTTAGGGTTTAGGGTACCGGTTTGCAGCTTTTTTTTGCATGCGTTTTATTTTTTGTGGGTCTGATGCATCGCTGTGCATCTGTCTTCCTATTTTTAAGTCCATAACGCATGCACCGCCAAGTGACCCGCAAACGTCTAGCAGCTGAACAGCACAGCGAAACAAACTGCTGCTGCTGCTGCTGCTGCTGCTGCTGCTGCTGCTGCTGCTGCTGCTGGTGGTAGTTGTTGCGGTGGGAGAAGGACAGGAAGCAGATGACGCACACGGCAGAGAACTGCTGCCGCTGCTGCTACTGCTGCTACTGCTGCTGCTGCTGCTGCTGCTGCTGCAAACGCTGCTGCTCGTTGTGTCAATATCCTCAGCCTTGCTGCTGCTGCTGCTGCTGCTGCCGCTGCTGCTGCTGCTGCTGCTGCTGCTGCTGCTTGGGTCCATGTCCAGGGGCTCCCACTCGTGCTCCCAGTACACCCGGTAGCAGCGCGGCAGGAACTGCAGCAACTCACGCGCAACATTCCTGCTGCTGCTGCTGCTGCTGCTGCTTCTGCTGCATGCTGCTGCTGCGTCTGCAGACGTTTCCGCTTCTGCTGCTGCTGCTGCTGCTGTTGCTGCTGTTGCTGCTGCTGTTTGCTGCAGCGCACGATACACCAGCGCGGAGGGGAACTCACAAGTTGGAGGGGCCCCGGGTGGGGGGGCGCGGCCCTCTGCAGCAGCAGCAGCTGCTGCTGCTGCTGCTTCTCTTGCTGCTGCTGCTGCTGCAACAGAAGCTTTGCTGCTCCTCAGCAGCGAAGCTATCGGCGTGCGGGGAGGGAAATCCAGGGGGGGGGCCCCCGGGGGGGCCCCCCCCTGTGCATTAACCCAATAGTAAAAGGCAGCCTCACCCCAGTCACACAGCTTCAGCAGCTGCGCAGGCTTGCTGCTGCTGCTGCTGCTGCTGCTGCTGCTGCTGCTGCTGCTGCTGGGTGGTGGTTCCTGTGGCAGCAGCCAGCGGTGACGCTTGCCTGCGACGATGCGGCGCCGCAGCTCAGTAAGCGCACGCTGCTGCTGCTGCTGCTGCTGCAGCTTCTGTCTACGCTGCTGCTGCTTCTGTCTCTCCTTTAGCTGGGTTTCATCGAGTTGCTGCTGCTGCTGCTGCTGCAGCAGGTGTTGCTGCTGCAGCGGCGCCTGCGGCTGTAGCAGCTGCCTCGTAACATATTCATGCCCCCGTAATGTTGCTGCTCCCGCACTCATAGCTAACATGTGGTCTTGCTGCTGCTGCTGTTGCTGTTGCTGCTGTTGCTGCTGCTGTTGCTGCTGCTGTTGCTGCTGCTGTTGCTGCTGCTGTTGCTGTTGTCTTCCCTGCTGCTGCTGTTGGCTACCAAGCTCGCTTCGTTGCATGAAAAGCTCGCGCGGGTCGGCGGTGGAGAGCATAGCTCGCGCTGCTGCTGCCTTTGCTGCTGCTGCTGCTGCTGCTGCTGCTGCTGCTGCTATGCTGCTCCGCGACCCGCGGCAGCAGCAGCAGCTCGTGCTGCAGCTGTCGTTCCCCCTGGCGCAGCAGCAGCAGCAGCAGTCGTCGCATCAGCAGCAGCGGCAGCAGCGTGGCCCGCTGCTGCTGGGACTTAATTCCTTGACTTCAGCTGCTGCTGTTGCGGCTGCTGTTGCTGCTATGCTGCTGCTGCTGCTGCTGCTGCTGCTGCTGCAGGGGGGCCCCAGTCTGCTGCGACGCTGTTGTGTGGGCGCATTCACCAAACCCTAAACCCTCGAAATGAAGACAGAGAAAAACAAAAGGGAGAAAACTGAAGCCGCTGTGGGGCGCGTGATTCAGCTAAACCCTGAACCCCAGAGGAAGGCTACGAGGGTTTAGGGTTTAGGGTTTAGGGTTTAGGGTCTGGAGCTACCAGTTTCCAAGGGGCTCAGAGGCGAAGACCTACAGAAGAAAGGGAAAAAGAGCATGCGCTAACATCTCGGTCTAGGGTTTAGGGTTTAGGGTTTAGGGTTTAGGGTTTAGGGTTTAGGGTTTGCTGCACACTGGGGGCTCCAGGTGTACATCCACCCAACCCCAAACCCCCAGAAAACGCAGAAGGTTTTAGCTCTTGTCTTTATTTATATTTTTTAAAAGTTATTTATAAAAAAGAAGATGAAGTGAAGGCACTTGAAGCCCAGACCCCAAACCCTAAACCCTAAACCCTAAACCCTAAACCCTAGCATGTAAACCCTTCCGGCGCAGTCGCCGCAGCAGCGAATCCTGCTGCTGCTGCTGCTGCATAAACCTACACTTTTCTCTCTCCGACCCTGAACCATCAAGCTAAACCCTAAACCCTAAACCCTAAACCCTAAACCCTAGGCTGCAAACAACATATTCACCCCCTCAACTCTCTCTCTTTCTCCCCACGCCACTCCTCTGCTGCTGCAGCAGCGGCCCTCACCAGCCAGCTGCAGCAAAATTTTGCGGTGTCTGTACACTGAAATTTCGCTGTATTTGTCTGTGCATGCACTGACAGTCTGAGGAGCACGAACACCCCAGCCTGTTCACAGGCCCCGAGCCTGGCCGACAGCCCATGCGGGGCCGAGGGTTTAGGGTTTAGGGTTTAGGGTTTAGGGTTTACAGTCTTCCCCTGGTATCCAGCAACAAAGGTACCTGCTTCAGGTGTCTGCACACCTCAGAGTGTCTCCGCAACCCCACAAAGACAGTCAATAAAAAGAAGACAAGGAACAAAGAAAAGTAAATTCGAGACACAGACAAACAAGGTGCAAACATAGCATATAGTGCAGAGAGGGGAGAAGACGGCTCCCACTGCAGCAGCAGCAACTCGCTGTCTTTGTAGCAGCAAAAAACTGCTGTCTCTGCAGCAGCAGCACTCCACTGTCTGTACAGCAGCAGCGTTCAGCTGGCGGTGCAACAGCAGCATTAGGCTGTTGGTGCAACAGCAGCAATCCGCTGCCTGTGCAGCATTTGTAATTATTTGTCTGTGCCGAAGCAGCACTCAGCTGTCTCTGCTGCTGCAGCAAGGAAAACATGCAAAGACACGCAAGCTGCCGTCGCCGACGCAGGCAACAAGCCAAAAAGATTTGTACCGCCAGCTGCCTTGCTGGGCTAGCTAGCTCGATAGGTAGCTAGGAAGCTGGCTAGTTGGCTAGCGACGTTTGTCAGGATATATTCTGAACCCGCTATTCAATGGCGCAACAGTAGAGCTCAAGGATAAGAGACAGAGCGAGCCCCACATAACTCCCTTTCTTGAGGGTTTACGGTTCAGGGGTCGGGCCTAGGGTTCTCTGTACCTGTGGGGGGACACCACAAGTGCAGCAGGCCAAAGACAAGGGGGATTTGGCTGCAGCTGACGCAAGCTACTACGCACGAACAAGCAAACCCTGAGCCCTGAAAACTAAAAACTAAACACAGGCGAACTCGCACGAACAAACACAAACCTAGACCTTAAACCCACATTGCTGAAGGAGTAGGAGTACTTATGTTGCTCCCCTTTGGGTGGTGGTTGAAACCGAGATATTAAGAATTAGTTTTTCTGCATTCACGCGACGGCTTGGCATTTAGGGTTTGCATCGTAGGGTTTGCGTCCCATCTTGAGAAAGCTTGCTTTTTTGGGGTGTACTGTACGGCTGCGGGTTGATCGTTTTAGGGTCTAAAGACGCAGCACGGCGATGGCAATACTGTTTTTGTTCGTTCTTAAGAGCTGAGCGTTTGGGTTTCATAGATAGCACTGGCTCACGGAACTACAAATTGCCTCCGGTTCAGAGTTCACTATGAAAGGCTTAGGATTCATGCGGAGTGCTCTGCACGTTGCTGGCACACTTACTTCTACTTGCATGCAGGTTAGCCACCAGCTAAGTGTTCAGTGATTGACTAAAGTGTTCGTGCAGGCAGCGAAAAGGGCTTTGGCTTGCTTGTATATGGGGTTGTTGCGTTGCAGCATGAGTTGCAGCGACGTGCGTTGCAACGCGTACCAGCCTGCCTGTCCTTTGCAGGCCCCAGGCGCTTGCCTCGCAGGGCCCAGGCCGCCTTGAGTATAAGAGAAGGGAAACAAGTCTCTAGACACTTTCCTAAAACATTCATCAGAAGAACCCTCTAGTGCTGTCGCACAATGGAGATTGATCAGGCTTTGTCTCGGAGTAGAAAAATTGCTACGTTGGAGCCAGAGCAGCACCTTCATCGCAAAGAGAGTTTTCCACCGCTCTGGCATTCGTTCTCCCCCCACTGTGTGCACTGGTTTGGCGGTGC